CTGAGCCATCTCACCAGCCCTAACTTCTTTTTTTTGGGTGGAACCGGGGATTGAATTCAGGCCCTTGCGCTTGCCAGGCAAGTGCTTATTCCACTGAGTTATCTCCCCGGCCCATAGCCCTAACTTCTTAATACTAAAAAAAACAAACACAGAAAACAAAAACTGGGCAGCAGCAATGCATTAGAGATAAAAAGAGGCCTATGTCATCATGAAAATACCTGTCCCCAAAGTGTGACCTAAACCTGAGAAAAGCTCCATACACAGGAAAGAGGAAGGACAGTGATAATACTGCACATCCTGAACATGAGATCACACATGACAATAGTGCAGAAAATCCTTATTTCTTCAACACAAAACTGGCACTGAAGAAAGAAGACAGATTATTGTACATTAAGAGACTAATGAAACATAAATCTAACAGATGAATCTTATTTGAAATCCTGTTTCAAACCATGTATTCAAAATGTTTCATGATATCAGGAATTGCGGTTACTCGGTTACTCCTATTTGGTAACCATGATAACAGGTACATTAATGAGTAAGATTTTACTGGATAACAGTACCTTCTGAGACCTGGTCCCTCCTCAAAGTGAAGAGGAACAGATAAACACATTCAGTAACAATGCTGCAGGCTGGGGAGTAGCTCTAGAAGCCTTGTGTATGAAGGCCAGGGCCTTGAGTTCATCATTAGCACCACAAAGGAAGAAAGCGAAGGTGGCGGTGGGAGACCCTCACTCTGAAGCTCTGCAACAATACGAGGGGTATTATACTCTGCTCTCTGCTTTTGTCTACAGTTGAAGATTTCTATACCAAAAGTTAAAATAGCAGAAAGATGATGACTGTTGCATCTGGATCCTGAGAGCTCCCAGTAGTACTCTTTCACTCAGAGGCTAACTAGCCCAAGGAGAAAGCACCCAGCCGGGAGAACTACAGACAAGGAACATGGCAGACTTCATGTGCCACTAGAACCAAATCTACCTCTCCTGATTTACCAGACAAAGGAGTGCTGCACAGAGCCACAACCTGTGAGGGTCATGGCTCTGCTAGCCTGTGTCATGATGGCCACAATCCTCTCACCTGGCTGGGCTGGGTGAGGTGGTGGCATCTGGTGATGCATTAGAGGGTAGGGAGGAGGCTGCTGATGGGACATCATGCCTGGATGGCTGGCTGCTCCAGGTGGGGCCAGGCCAGGGCCTCCTGAGTGCTGATGTGCCTGTGCAGGGTTCTGGCTGTGCTGCTGCTGTTCCATTTGCTGCCGGGCACGTAACTCGGCATATTTTAGCTGCTCCATGTGGAAGTTCTGTCGTTCAGTAAGCAACTGCTGCCTCTGCTGTTCTAGCTGTAAGAAAACAAAAAAAAGGAAATGACAGGACAAGAAACCTCAGACCTGGATGACACACAGCACAGATGCCTATCGGTGTCTGAACTCCTTCCACGTCACCAGATACAGTCACGTGGCCTCCAGCAACATCTACACTGAACAAAATGGCATTCTTTCTATTTTCCTGAGACAGGGGTCCACTAAACAGCTCAGGCTGCCTCAGCCCCCAGAGCACTGGGATTAGATGTGTGCCACCACACCCAGAAAGGTAGTTTTTCTTTCTTTTAAATTATTTATTTATTTATTTATTTATTTATTGTGTGTGTGTGTGTGTGGCCAGTTCAGCCCACCAGAGGGCGGGGCTGGCTGGCATGTGGTGCTGGGGGAATGAACCACGGTCCCTGTGCTTTGCTTAGCTTAGCTTGTTCTAAGTAGGTGCTTTAGACCACTGAGCCATCTCACCAGCCCCAAGGTAGTTTTTCTTGATTAGTATATTCTACCTGACATGTGTTACTGCTACCAGGGTCTTGTCTGTGTTGAATTCAAGACCTATCTTCCCTTGTAACTTTATTTATATTTTTTTTAATTTTTAACACAGGGTCTCACTACATAGATTGGACTCATAGTGATCCTCCTGTTTTCAGCCTCCCAAGTGCTGGGATTATGGGTGAGTGCTACCAAACCCAGTCTCAGTTGCAGTCTCAGCAAGCCCTGAGGGCTGGGCTGGCACGGCACAGCACGGCACCGCAGGGGACTGAACACCAGTTCCTGCATCTGCCTAAGCATGTGCTTTAATCCACTGAGCTATCCAGCTGACCCTTCCTTGTAACTTTTAGCTAGTGAAGCTTCTGCTCTCAGGGCCCACTTAGGATATATGTAATCCTCTCTCAGGTGGGCTTTCAGAATTAAAAAAAAATGTCTTTATTCATTTATTTGATACAGGGTCTTACTACATAGCCCAGCTTCAAAACTCCTGGCTTCAATGATCTTCTTTCAGCCTTCTTAGCAGCTGGGAGAACTACCTGCTATAGGCCTTGAGATATAGTATGTAAAAACTCTTTCCATGACTACCTGCAAATTGCCCTAGTAAAACAAGTCCCACCTGTCATTTTATTGGTTTGTCAGAAGCTGGCTAACAAGTACACCTGACATCCCCAGGTGCTCTCTTCTGGATGCCATCTTTCTGGTTACCGCCTATTTTAGAATACAATAGCAGAGAGGAATCCTGAGCTGACATGGCCTTGGCTGTAAAAATACATGTCTCTATGCAGGACTTTGTCAGTATCACTGTAAATCTTAGCTCTAAGTACCCAAAATTATAGTGGATGACACATTCACAGAATATTTTAGTTGCCTAAATAAAAATGTGCATGATCTTCAAGTATTTTAAGTATCTCAGTATTCAAACTAAATCTGGGGCTTAAACGAGAAATAATGTATATGTGCAGGAAATTCAGAAACTATACTAATGGAGCTTACTTTAACATAAGGCTGACAAAAACAGCAAAACGAAAATCTGTATTTTTGAAAGTAGGCAGCACAGTAACTGTAGCACAAGGAAGTCAGAGGCCTGTTTCTTTGAAGTCCTCTCTCCTCATCTCCATAGTAATAAGACCTATGCCTCAGGGACCTGTCCTTGTGCTGTGCAGTCCCATGCAGCAGTCATGGTAATAGCCAGCTGTGGAGCACCTGAGGTATGCTGTTAGCATACAGGACATGACAAAATCTGAAAAAAACTTTTTGTCTATTGAATTAACCTATTTTGCTTTTTTTAAAATTTTAAAACATGATTGTTGGAAAAATTTTAATTACACGCTTGGCTCTTAAATTTTATGCCTGCTGTGGAGCATTTTTCCTATGCATTTATTTGGCTGAGGAAATGTTAACATTTTAGGTTTTAGAAGCAGCCAGTTCTGTGGATAAATACTACATGCTATAATTAGCAAAACTCGATGGAATAAGCCTGAGAATCTGGGATCATGACAGAGACCAGCCTAGGAAGAAGCCACTGGGGCACCAAAGGAAAAACTCTACTGGTCAGCAGGGCCACCAGGCAGGGAAACCTTGGGACAGATGGGGTGCACTGCAGCATGGAAGGAGGCCTACACAGGTGCAGGAAGAGGTAGGTGGAGGTGACGACCTGTTAAAAGCACAGGCTGAGGTTTTTGGTTAGCTGGCTTACAGAGTGAGGTAGAGTCCTATCACCTGGGTAGAGTCCCCTAATGCTGGTGTGGGTGCTTCATTTTCCAGGGAGGGTGGGAGGAGGGTATTCTGGCCAGGTGCTGGAAGATGTAGGATGCAAACAATGTGAGCATTCTCTGGAAGTCCAGTTCTGTAGGAAAACTAATCAGTGAGATAATGTTTAAGAGGCAATGACTTAAAGACATCTGACTATATATTCTTGGTTTTGCTTTCTCATAATAACATTCTAGGAAATTTTAAACTGTATGATAATTTGCTGAGGTTAGGCTTAGGAGGCTGCCAGAAATGGACCTCTTATCGATGTTCCGGTTAAGTCATCACTAGCCTAGAGAACTTGGCTTAAGTACTGTAGTTATGTAAGAACTACGGAAGCAAGGTCAAGATCTGCCTTAGAAAGCAGCTGAATTGCTACTAGAGATTTTTTTTTTTTTTTACTGTAGTCCAGGCTGGCCTGCAACTTGTGGCAATTCTGTCTCAGCTTCTAAAGTGCTGCCATTACAGACATGTGCCAACCACCATACCTGGCCATGGAGACTTTTCTTCCAGCATGCAAGCATTTATTTGGGAGCTAACCTCATCATCTTGCAAAGGATAATTTTTTTTTTTTTTTTTTTTTTGCACCAGGAATATAACTCAGGACCTTGAGCTTACCAGGCAGGCACTGTGCCAATGAGCAATATCCCTGGCCCTAGAATCTACTATTAAGAGGATAGGAGGATAACTGGGTGTAGTGGTGCATGTCTGTAATCCTTACATTTGGGAGCCTGAAGTAGGAAAATTGAAAATTTGAAACCAGCCTGGGCTACATAGCAAGACCCTGTCATGGGGTGGTGGTTTAATGGAACAATGGAAAGGGAAGAAAACTTGCCCAATCTTGTAATATGCAATCTCAACTAACCTCTATTGACCTATGTTTTTTTGGTGTGGGAGCAGGGGAAGGTCTTTGAGACAGGTTCTCACTATGCAGCGCAGGCTGGCCTTGTGCTCACTCTGTAGCCCAGGCTGGTTTTGAAGTAGAAAGGATCCTCCTGCCTCAGCCTCCCAAGTGCTGGGATTATAGGCCTATGCTACCACACCCCATTTACCCTACTCATTTCTGAGCTTCATCAGTGATTGTATTTTATTTATTTTTTCCCTTTTTTTGCAGTACTGAGGATCAAACTCAGAACCTTGCACTTGCCAGGCAGTGCTTATGTCACAGAGCTATCTCCCCAACCCACTGGTGATTTTAAAAAGTAATTCAAAGAAAGTAATTAGAACAATTAAAAAGAATTTAACACACATACTTAAGCCTGACAGTAAACCCTTTTAAGATAAAGCTTCAACATGGAGCAACAAGTCCCGAGATGAGGGTGACCTGCTGACTCTAGGAGGCCCTCCTTAGAGTGGCCTTGGCACAGCGTGGCTTGTGCTGCACAGTTTACCTCATCTATCGTGGCAATCTGTAAGAGTACGAACTAGAAATTATTGGGCAAAATGGGGCAGTATTTTGCATATTTAAATGCACTCAGCTGCTGACATCTGTATGTAAGTGTGCATAAGGGCAGTCACTAAGGTATTACCTTTGGTTTATCATCTCAGACTGAGTGGCAGAGAAAAGTAAGTTGCAAAAGAAACACAACCCCAAGTATATACAAAAGTGTTGATCATGTATAAACACATCTACACACACTGAAAATGTTCTCACTGCTTTTTTGTGGGGGGCAGAACCACGCATTGAACTCAGGCTTGAGCTTGCCAGGGAAATGCTTATTCCACTGAGCCATCTCCCCGCCCTGCCCAAAATGTTCTAATAGTAATTATCCCTAGGAATGAAACCAAGGGGAAGAAACTTTAATTTACTATCTGAAAGAATTTTTTCCTTAGTACCAGGGATTGAATTCAAAGCATTTTCACTAGCCAAGCACTCTACCACTGAGCTACCTCACAGGTGTTTTTGTTTTGTTTTAAAAGGTCTTTAAACTGTCCAGTTTGGCTTCAAACTCCTGATTTTCTGTCTCAGCTTCCAGAGCAGCTGGGATTATAAGTGTGTAACACTGTACCTGGCTTACTCTGAAAATTTTAACAAGTCACACATATTTTTGTAATAAAAAGTAATACTATGAAATAGTCTTAAAAGAGTAACAGGTACAGTGTGAATTACTCAGCAACCTGTTAACCTTCCTTGAGACTCTAATCTGCCTCTAGAAGGCAGTTTTGCAGTAGACTTCTCTGTGTACCTTGCTCTGAAGCCCCATTTGCCTGTGGGGCACTCAAACCCTGTCGGCCAGGGCAGAATGGGGACAAAGCACTTGCATCCCAGTGGAACACAAAACATTCTCAACATCAAGACATAAAGTGCAGGGGCCAGGGAGAAAGCTTAGTAGAATAAGCACTTACCTGGCAAGTGCAAGGACCTGAGTTCAATCTCCAGTTCCGCCAAAGGGGGGTGGGGGGGGAGAGCAGGGAGATGGCTCAGTGGAATAAGTGCTTCCCTGGCAAGCTCAAGGGCCTGAGTTTAATCCCTGGTTCCACAAAAAAAAAAAAAAAAGGACACAAAGTGCAGACACAACTGCAAATGGAGCTGAAGTCCACACAAAGCTCTTCTCCCAACCTCTGTTGCATAAAGCAGGGAGGAGAGAGAAAGAGGAAAGGATGGAGAGGACCACAAAAATCTATCCACACTGCCAAAGACTGAAATATCCGCTGTGTGTATACACAAAGCCTCTAATGACTTGGCCTCAGAACTAAAGGAGTGATCACCTTCCTCTTCAGTGTGTGCTATTGGTGATGGAGACATTCATCTTAAAATGAGAAGGCTTTGGATCAATCCCTAC